TGGTGAAATCCTTTGATGCACATAAGTTTCTAATTTTTAGAACATCCCAATCATCTATTTTGTCTTCTTTTGTTTGTGTAATTTTCACAATGTTTTGTAGTCTGTGTGTGCCCAGGATTAGAACCCTTAAATTTGTCCCGATTTTTTCATAATGATCAATGTATCTTGATTGCATGTTTGTTTGGTTTCAGATGAAATACATTGGTAGAATTCTCAATTTCATCATCACTGGCTTTAGTGGTTGGTGTGTAAACTTGAGTAATAGTGCTATTAATTGGTCTTTCTTTTAGGCATATGGATATTATCCTATCACAGACAGTGCTGTACTTGGAGAAAGGTCTGGAAATGTTCTTTTGGATGATGAATGTGATGTCATTTCTCTTTAATTTGTTGTTCCTGGCATAATAAACATATGATATGTACTATAATCATAGCAAACATATGATCGTTAGACTCCACATTGCCAATATCAGTCCATTTCAGTTCACTGTTGTTGTTAAGTGCCATCGAGTCAGTTCCGACCCATAGCGACCCTGTACAGGGTTTCCGAGGGTGTAAATCTTTACGGGAGTAGAAAGCCTCATCTTTCTCCCGCGGAGCAGCTGGTAGTTTCGAACCGCTGACCTTAAGGTTCGCAGCCCGATTCGTAACCACTACGCTACCAGGGATATCAATCTTTATGAGTTCCATTTCATTTTTACAACTTCCAATATTCCTAGATTCATACTTTGTACATCCCATGTTCCAATTCTTAATAGATGTTTGCCTCTTTTTCTTCTCAGTTTAAGTTGTGCCCCATGAGCAAATGAAGGTCTCAAAAGCTTTACTCCATTTTTGCCATCACAGTACACTCTACTTTGAGAAGCCAGTAGTTTGAGTGCCTTCCAACCTGAGGCATTCATCTCTGACTCTACATCTGACAATGTTCTGGGGCCCTTCATCATGTCTTTATCTTCCAGCACTGTATCTGGCAAGATCCCACTGCGATTCATAATTTTTTCAGTGGCTAACCATCCACAAATAATGTGTCACTCATTCTTCTTAGTGTTTATCAGTCTGGGAGCACCACTGAAACCTGGCTGATAATATTGAGCTTTTCCACCATGTAATTCCACAGATATAGTCAGTTTGATTCCTGTATATTCCATCTGGTTAGGTCCATGTGCATAATCACCTTTCGGTCCATCCTGGGTGACCCTGTTAGTAATTGAAATACCAGTGGCATCGTTTCCAGCATCACAGCAACATGCAAGCCACCACAGTATGACAAACTGACATATGACCGGTGGTCACTGGTTTGTAATCGCTAACAAATTCTCTTATAAGTCAGTTGCTTTTATGGAAACAAAATTTGTTCGTAGTTACCAGGGAATGAGGGCAGGGGAGCTTGGGGTATTATTGTTTAAGGGGGACTGAGTTTCTGTCCCGGGTGATAAAAATAATCATGGTGAGGGCTGTGAGGCAGGCTGAATGTGAGTAATGTCACTGAATTGTACACTTTCGAGTGATTGGAATTGGTAATTATTTGAGACATATTTTATGACTTTTTTTTTCAATTCTGCTTTCAACAAAATAGAGTTATCATTTTGTAGTTCAAAACGTTGTCTTTTTCATCAAGGTAATCTTAGAGTTCAAAGAGTGAAGCTAATAAACTAGTTAAACCTTCTGAACTCCAAAGTCCATAGACTAAACTACAATATTTACCATATGTTGTTTTCCTACAACAACAACAAATCTTTACGGGAGCAGAAAGCCTCATCTTTCTTCTGCAGAACAGCTGGTAGTTTTGAACTTCTGACCTTGCGGTTCATGGCCCAATTCATAATCACTACGCTACTAAAGAATAATAATTAGATAAGACAGAAGATTTGAACAATACAATCAGCCAACTTGACCTAACAGATACATGCAGGATTTATACCCAACAATTAGAGAACACACATTATGCTCAACGTGGGACCTCCAACAAGATGGTGATGTTGAAAAGATGCTGCTGCAGAAATTTCTCATGAAGCAGAAAGTTAGGTTGAATTTTAAGATAATTGCCACTTGTGAAATTCTAAAATTGACTCATCTTTTCCTAAGAATATCACCCTTGGTACAACTTCCCCATTGTGTGGTGATGGTAATGTTGCATTTTCAGACATTTCCCAAATGGGAACAAGGCTGTGGAGGTGGCTTTGATCTTTATAAATATGACAGTGGATAAATTTAGACAGTGGGTATCTGTCCTATCAAGCTGATTCTTGATGGCTAACATCTCTCCCATTTCCCCCTTGTTTTCATCACCCAAATCAAAGCCTCAGCCCAGCTCCTGATTTCTTCTCATTACTGCCATCAAGGTCAACTTTTTACCCTGTCAGACAGAACAGACCCTCACCCACAACACACTGTTCCTATGAATCCATCTATTCTACTTACCAAAATACTCTACATCCTAAGAAAATGAAATGATTAAAAGAGAACCAAGAGAAAAGAAGTGTAGATAAATAAAATAAAATGAGAGCTATGTTGTTACTCTCAGTTGCTGTTGATTCTGACTTATGACAAACGCACACGTGCAAAGTGAAACTGTTCTATAGGGTTTTCAAGGCTGCGACTGACGTTTCAAAAGCAGATGACTAGGCCTGTCTCCCTAGGCACATCTGTTGTTGCTGTTGTGTCAATTCCGACTCATAGCAACCCTGTACAGGATTTCTGAGGAGCAGCTGGTGAGTCTGAACCGCTGACCTTGCAGTTAGCAGTCCAATGCTTATCGTACAGAACCATACCAGGACTCGTATTGGTGGATTCAAACTGCCCACCTTTTGACTCGTACATAGTACATTACTGAATCATTTGTACTACCCTGGGCTTTTCAGATGTTTGATGCTGGAGATTGGCCAGTGAGTCCAGCCAAGTCAGGTCGTTGGGTAGGCTGCCTCAGAAGCCGATTCCCCTCACTTTCTGCTACTTCTGCCTGCTCTTAAGTCCCCCAGGAATGTTGACTCCTCTTCCTGTTTATGTTGCTCCTGCGAGGGTCTCTGCAGATACAGAGGGAACCATTCTTTTTGGGTGATCCGCAACAGAATGCAGGACTGTAGGACAGCAGGGTCTGCATTCAAGTTCCTACAACTGTGAAGTCCAGCTGTTGCTTAAACTCCAGCCTGACCCATCATCCAGCCTCTGGCAGAAGCTGGGATCCTGTGAGCTAGGAAGCTAGCAGGGACAGTGGTGGTTCTGAGGTAGAATTGTCACATTCCATACACAGACATGGGCACGAGTATCAGCCAGCATGCCTCATGTGTAGTCACCACCTGTCAGCAGAAACTTGGGAGTTGCTAAAATGCTGAAAAAGTTTCAGTGAAGCTTCCAGATTAAGACTGAAAGGAAGAAAGACCTGCTGATCTACGTCCAGAAATCCCTGGATGGATCACAACAGTCCAAGCTGCAACTTCCCCTGGGGATGATGTAAGACCAGGCCATACATCTGTGAGACCACCACGTGGGGAGGAGGAGGGGCTGACTCTTGATGGTGCTACCCAACAAAGGAAGACAAGAGAGCCTCTGAGGCAGGCAGGAAGGCCCAGCTGTGCACATTCTACCTCCGTTTTCTGGAAGGCAGGGAGCCACACTGAGTAGCTCACTAGGTCACTCGGTACACACTGCAGAGATGTGTGCAGACATGGATGTGTGCGCATGACATGGATGTGTGCATGAATTGTATGCGTATGTCCAGACGCATGCGTGTGAGTCAGAGAGAAGAAATACAAAATAATCACACCCAACTCCTCACCACTCCTAGACGTATTTTAATCTCAAAGTAAACAAAGAGGGAAACAGAAAGTCAGCGTTGCTCTGAAGGTGTTTGAAAAAGCGCTAAAAATAAAGTGAATGTGTTACTCCTTCCTCTCCGCGCTCTCCAGCTGTCAACTGTGAGGTCAGTTCCCTTATGACTAGAAGCCGCCTGTCACTGTAACTTCAGGCACTGCTCCCATGTGGAGTCTGACTTCCATTGTTCAAAATGAGGCTCCACCCCTCATGAGTCATGTGACTCTCAGCCGAGCACTCCACCTCTCCAGTTTCAATGACCTCCTAGGAAAAATGAGGGCTGTCAACATTGGCTGCTTTGTTGTACTGTAAGAATTTAGGAGTCCAATGAATATAAAACATACTTTATGCCACAAAGTGATCCATGAAAACCATTATGCTTTAACATTTAATACGGTTATTTTATTCATTTCACATGGCATTGAACACAGAGTTCAGAATCAGCAAAGACCTGTTTCTTTTTCCTTTTCTATTGTCCAGCTTCCTACAAGAGAATAAGTACATATGTCAGTAAGGTCCCAGGAACAGCTGAAGTGGAGCTTACCTGCCAGGCTGAAGGACACCCCCTAGCAGAAGTCACCTGGCCAAACGTCAGCATTCCTGCCCACACCAGCCACAGCAAGACCCCGGAGAACCTTTACCAAATCACCAGTGTTCTGCGCCTAAAACCACAGTCTGGCCAAAACTTCAGCTGCTTGTTCTGGAATGAGAACCTAAATGAACTTACATCAGCCACCATTGACCCTCAAGGTAACAGCTTCCTGAGCCCATTTGCCAGGGTCCAGGCAGAAAACACATGTGTACCCAAGTAATTAACAAAGAGTGTTTACAAAGGGTGATGAGGTTAGAGAAACCATTCAAGGCAACTTGGGGACACTAGTCTTCAACAGTGGGGGACAGTTCCCAGTGTCACTGGAGGGAGCTGTGGTCTGTCTCCAGGAGAGGGAGGCAGTACCTGAAGCAACCTCACAGGATGCTCATTCTCCTGTCCTCCTCCCATCTCCTGCTGGAGTCTCTGCCCTGAGTGCTAGGCAACTGGCAGCCAATCAAGGGAAACAATAAGACCATGAGATAGCAGCGTGGACCACTAGCTGCTGATTGAGGCTAACACATTGGCAGCAGAGGGCTTCTAGAAGCCACCAGAACAAGAAAGGGGGTTAAAGATCTAGGGAAGAGTAGAAGGGGCAGCTATGCATCCTTCAACAATGGACTTTTGCAACAAGATGGGCAGTCTCTGGGGCAGTGTTCTGAAGGCAGCACCTTGGTAGTGGTGATGGTTGTGCTGAAGTCAGTCCCTGGTGACCTTAAGTAGGATAGAAAAAACATGGCCTGGTCCCAGACCCTCTTTACCTTGGTGTTACACTCCAGCCCATTGCAGCGACTGTGTATTTTGAGTGCCTTCCAACCTAATGCTCATCTTTTAGCACTCTCCTTTCAACAATTTTCTGTTGAAAGTCATAGGGTTTTTAGGAGCTAATTTTTGGAAGTAGATCTTCAGGTCTTTCTTCCTAGTCTGTCTTAGTCCGGAAGCACCACTGAAACCTGTCCTCCGTGAGTAACCCTGTTGGTATAGCTTCCAACATCATAGCAACATGTAAGCCTGGCATGACAAACTGACAGCGGGATAGGAGGGAATTACAGTCGATGTTGTTTTTAAAGTGCCATAGACTTTGTTTTGACTCATAGAGACCCTGTCTGTTATAGGATTTCCTAGATTGTAAATCTTTGCAGGAGCAGAAAGCCTCACCTTTCTCCCTCTTCTGGAGTGTCTGGTGGGCTCAAACCACCGACCTTGTGGTTCGTAGTCCAGTACTTATCCTACAGAGCCTCCGTACTTCCGGGAGAATTACCTTAACTTCCTTCATCTGAAGAATTTTATTTTACTGGGGACTAGCTCTGGTAGCGTAGTGGTTACAAATCAGGCTGCTAACCTCAAGGTTGGCAGTTTGAAACTACCAGCTGTTCCTCCAGAGAAAGATGAGGTGTTCTGCTCCCGTAAAGATTTACAGCCTCAGAAAACCTGTACAGGGTCACTATGAATTGGAACCAACTCCACGACACTTAACAACAACAACAACAGCAGATGGCTGCACACTTTTGCCATAGGCAGGCTCTTGGTGGCTAAAAAAGTTGTTTATTTGGGGGCTATTGCTAAAATAAGTTGGAGATGTACAAGTTTTCAGTTTGGCATCAGTGGGCTAAGGGATCTCTGCTTGCTATGGAGAAATAACTTGGGGACAATACACAGGCACCATATTTGTGCAGTTTATGCATCCCATTGGCTGCACCCAACCGGAAGTCCAAGGTCAAAGAGCACACTGATGGAGTTGATGAAGGTTAACGCTGGTCTCAGGGCTGAGAATCGACTGTTGAAGGGTAAACAGGATTCTGCAGAGACTAACTGACCACATGCTTAAGCACCCAGGACCATGAGTCAGCAGAATAAGTACTGCTTTGCTGGCCTTGCAGATAGCCAGTGGTTTGAGGGTATTTCCAAGAAAGTTGACGTCTTACAGAACACTCCAAAGCCTCAACTGTCTATGCTGGATATTTTTTTGAGGTGTATCCCCGTACTTTTGAAGTTTATATGTACACCAGCAAAATGCCAAACAATTTTGGAGAACTGGCAACTGTTTTATTTGCCAAGCAAAGGCATTTTCTAAAAAGCAATTGACATCTATGTTTCATAAGAGACAGGCTATTTTTATTACCAAGTTATAAATTTCCTATGATTGCTATAATAAATTACCATAAACTTAGTAGTTAAGACAACACCAATTTATTATCTTACAGTGGCGGTCCGACATAGAAAACCCGATGGTTTTCACCGGGCTCAAGTCACGGTGTTGGTGGGGTTGTCTTCCTCTTAAGGCTCTAGGGAAGAATCTGCCTTCCTGCTTTCCCAGCTTCTAGAAGCCACCTGCATTCCTTGGTTCTCTCATCTTCTAACTCAGCAGCGTCAAGACCTGGATCTCTGCTTCTATCATCACCTCTTTCTCTGACATCTTGCCTCCTTCTTTCATCTTTTGGGGACTTTTATAACTCCATTTCGGACTCCTAGTATGGCTCTGTAGGATCAGTTCAGGACTGTGAACTACAGTTTGAGCCCACTAGCTGCTCCTATCCCATACAGGGTCGCTATGAGTCAGAACTGACTCAACTGCTCTTAACAACAACAACATGACTACATTTGTCCTCAGTTGGAGTCCTGGTGTGGCACTGTAGGATAAGAACCAGACTGGTTAGCTACAAGGTTGGCAGTTCAAACCTACAAGTCACTCCTTGGAAACCCTGTATAAGGTTGCTATGAGTTGTAACTGACTGGTTGGCACTGAATTAGCAACAACAACCACCTCCAGAATAGTCTCCCCATTTTAAGGTGGCCCATATAACCCTATCTATAAAATCCCTTGGCCAGGTAAGACGTTCACAGGAATCTTTCCACCCATAGTGCCCTTGTACAGATAGATAATAGGAAATATAATATAACCAAGTGATGAGAAACATGGAATCTGGACCAGGTTAAGAGAGCCTGGACTGAAGCTTACTGTGTAACCTTGAGAAAGTTTCCTAGCCTTTGTGCCTCATTCTCTTCACCAGTAAGATGGAGACCATACTAAAGCTGTCGTGAGGAGCAAATGAGCTGATAGCCACGAATCACTTTAAACAATGCCTCAACCAACTCCTGCCATCGAGTCTGTGCCAACTCACAGCAACCTTCCAGGACAGACTACAGCTGCTCCTTAGGGTTTCTAAGACTGTAAATCTTTTCAGGAGTAGAAAGCCTCATCTTTCTCCTGGTGGGTTTCAACTGTTGACCATACGGTCTGGAGTCCAGTGTTTATCTCACAGTGTCAGAAGCATTATGAAACAATCCCTGGCATGGAGGGAATAGTCACTACTAGTTGACTGTGTTGCTTGTAACCCACTCACAAGGCCAGCCTGTTTGGCTGACCTCTGGACCCCCAGGTAATGGGATTCTCGTGCTTTTCCTTCACTCAGATCATATGAAACCTGAGGACCCAACAACTCCTCTGTTTCCAATTTTCATCCCTACTTGCATCATTGTCTTAATGTTCCTGACTGTGCTGGTACTCCTAAGAAAAAGGCTCTGTCGAAAACTCCTCTAGAAAAGGTAAGTTGGTTTGATTCCCGGTCACCACATTGACGGGAAGCATGGGAGGCTCTGGTCTGTGACTTTCCGCTTTGACCCGATACCTTGGGCTCATCACCTTCTTTGGCCTTTTCTTCAGATGCTCCCTCCCTATCCCCTGAAGGAAAACTTCATATTGTTAAGGGAAAGTCTCATGCCTGTGGCTGAAGTAGTTTGCCTTGTTCTCTGAGGCAAAAAGTTTCATCAGCCTCCCGGGAGCAGTGTGTCAAAAACCAGAGAGTTTACTGAAGGGAATAAAATGATCAGGAATGGGGCAGCACTTTCTAGGAGTCGCCAAAGTGCGCCTGTGAAAGAGATTTTTCACTGAGTTGAAATACAGAAAACCCAGGAACTAACAAGAATTAAATTCTCATTGGTTGACATTTACAAAATCATGCTTCACCAGACACAAGACAATGAGGAGATTCATAAACATTGTTTGGCTCATCTAAAGTATGGGTCATTTAACAGCTTCATCTGTGCTAGTGTGAGGGCCTGCCTGAGTGGCTGCTCTTCCTGGGAGCATGCTGTGAGAGGAAGGAGGAGGAGAGGAGCCTGCAGGCTTCCTGATGTATACTGGGTCCCTCACTTTTGAAAGTCCTGCTCAGAATAAGCAGTAGCTAGCTCAAGTGGGGTCTGGCTTTTAGCTTTGTCTGAAGCCTCTCCTTACACCACACACTTAATTCCTTTGAGCTCCTTCACAAATCTTATTTTGATAATGCAGACAGTTCAGTGCTGGCTAGAGTTTGGCTGGTGGGAGTCATGCTGGGCACTTGGTGGGAGCTTCCTTCTATTCTTATTCATCCTTTCCTGCTTAATTAAGCCTTTCCTATCCCCCAGGAATCTGGACCACCTCCTTGGGTAAGGAAAGGAGGAAGGTTTGTGAGGCCTTTGGAGGTGGGGGAGCACTTGGCTAATGGTTCCCTGCAGTCGTTCTAGTGAATGGCCCCAGCCCACTCCTCTGGCACTGTGCCACTTGGGACAGGCAATTTGATTGCACGTGTGTCTGCCCTGATGTCCTGGGAGGAGCTGTCCACCCTCAAAACCCCCAAACTATCTTCAGGCCTGTCTGGTGCTTTCCAAAACTGTCACTTTGTCGGCACCCAGGAGCTCCCCCAAAATCTGCCCATGGCTTGTCTGTAGAAAAGGAAATGGCATCTGGGAATAATTCAGTCAGGGGTGTGGGACTTTTAGATGGTTGTCATACTACATAACTTCTAATTCCAGAACACTTAATTGCACTCATGTGAAACCTGTACATAGACCAAGAGGAAGTCATTCAAACAGAACAAGGGAATACTGGGAGGTTTCAAATCAGGAAAGGTGTGTGTCAGGGTTATATTCTCTCACCATACTTATTCAGTCTGTATACTGAGCAAATAATCTGAGAAGCTGGACTATATGAAGAACACACCATCAGGATTGCAGGAAAACTCATTAATAACCTACGGTATGCAGCTGACACAACCTAGATTGTGGAAGGCAAAGAGGATTGAAAGAGCACACTGCTGATGATCAAAGAGACTGCAGCATTTGAACAGGAAAAAGTGAAAACATTCACTGCCCTCTCTACCCAGGAGACAAACTAGAATGTTAATCAGGTTATTGAGCAGAACCAATCCTTGGTTTCCCTCCTGGCTTCAGACAAGTCCACAACCTAACCCCTCCCCAATTCTGACCCCATATAAGTCTGCACTGCCCTGCATTCAGTGCTCGGAATCTGGAGAAGCTAGCTCCTCTGGGCCACCAGCTTAATAAAATCTGAAACTCTGCTTCACTTCTCCAAGTGGCCTCGTTTCTCAATGACAGATCAAGAGTTGCTGTGACACCCTCGGGCCCAGGGCTGCATGACATATTCAGTGTGGAGTGCCCCATAAAACAAACAACAAAAATTCTCACAACTGGACCAAGAAGCAACATCAAGATAAACAGAAAACAATGAAATTGTCAACAATTTCATTTTGCTTGGATCCACAATCAACACCCATGGAAACAGCAGTCAAGAAATCAGTGGATTGCGTTGGACAGATCTGGTGAAAAGAAGAAAAAAAAATCCACTTGAAATTTTTGTTCAAAAGCACAGATGTCACTTTGCGGTGAACTTGACCCAAGCCATGGTGTTCTCAATCCCCTCATATGCATGTGAAAGCTGGACAATGAAGAAGGAAGACTGTAAAAGAATTGATGCCTTGGAATTATGGTGTTGGAAAAATGTATTGACTATAATATGGACTGCCAAAAGAATGAACAAATCTACCTGGGATGTTCCTTAAAAGTGAGGATGGACATCTTTGCCCTGGGCGTTATCATCTGGGCAATGATCAAACGAATCACTTTCATTGACTCTGAAACCAAGAAGGAGCATCTCAAGGTTAACTTGTAAGGGTTGGTAGAGTCAGTTTCAGCTTCCCATGGAGACGAGGCTTTCTTTAGTCTGCTGTGGTGAATCCAGGTGGGGACTCCTTCTACCTTGGCTGATGGGCTTGGGATAATTTCTTGTTCTAGTCCTCAGTAATCTTTGCAGATGCTTCTGGGTGCCCTCCCAAAAGGAAAAACAAATCAGATACATTTATTACACTCTGAACTAATAAAACCAAATGTTTTCATCCCGTTGAAAGGAATAATGTCTTATGAGAGTCCCATTGTGTCCAAGTTTTGAGTCTGGCTAACTTGACAGCTGACGGGGTGGCTAGAAGGACTTCCCAGGGTCCAGTCCACTTTTTCTAACTGGTTTTCAGGTCCATCTCTCCATGTCCTGAACAGACTATGATCTCCAGGCTGGAAGGGGTCAGGTTACCTGTAGGGAATAGAAAGTATGTGGTGGAGGTGTTGTGCCTCCCTGAGATCTCAGTCACCATTACTCATTGGAACGATAACAGTCTGTCCCCCCTTGTTATTTTCAGCTGAGGTCCCAGGGGTGGGGGCAATAGGGATGGCAGAGGTTGATGTTAAATTATGCTGGGCCCCTTACCCCTGACACCATTAGTCTTCTGCAGACAATGAAGCTTGTTCAACCATGTGTTGAGTTGGATGGCTTTTTCTGCCAGATCCTCCCCTGAGATTTGGGCATTAATTTTTCCATTTATTTTTTAGGTTTTTGCATAAACACATTGGCCCTTGCTTAAAACCCTCGTTCCTTTCAGGGGGTCCTCCTTGGGGTCCACAGGCTTACCTCTAGTGGTCTTTTAGGAAGACAGTTAAGGCCTGAGACTCCTCATGCTCTCAGCTGTTAAATAGCTCAAAGGTGTGATGTCCACCAGTTGGGATGGATTCATGCCAATTGCCCTGTCGAATTTCTGCCATTTCTTTCTAATATCCTGGGTGCTTTGGGAGATAAAAATCATGTTAGCCAGTCGAATATTTGCTGAGTTCTCAGGATCAAGGTCTGTGTACTTACAGTAAGCCTGGTAGATTCATTTAAAGACTTTAGAGGGGTCCTCAGTTGACTTCTGTTGAATTGCCTGTACCATGTTCGAGCTCTTTTGTTTAGGAACTCCCTTCTTCAGACCTCTGAGAATGCACCTTGTATAGTGCTCCAGTCATGGTTGGCCCGTTAGATTTTAATTTGTGTCAGCTAGAGGAATTGCCTTGAATGGGGCAAGGGTGTCGTTCAAGTTTTTCTCCATGGATGTATGCTGTTTCCTCCCATGCCTTATCTCAGACCAGCCTTTTCCATTGCTGGCTAGAAGCATTGTCAACAGAGCCTGAATATCTCCCCAATTAGGATTATGGGTAGCAAAATAGTGGTTATTAAATTTGTTATTTTGGTTGGGTCATCCTGGTGTGGCACTGTGGGTCAATGTGCTGGACCACCACAAGGTCAGCGGTTCAAACCCACCAGCCACTCCTTGGAAAACTCACACAGGGTCACCATGAGTCAGAACCGACCCCACAGCACTGAACAATAAAATCTCAATAAGAAGGATTTTGAGTTTTTCCTATTTAACAAGTCCAAGATAAAGAAAGAAGTAGGTGCCCAGTAATATCCTGCAATTTGCTCTTCTGTATTCAATTCTGTGGGCATCTGCAAAGGGGGTACTGCTTTGCCTCTATTCCAGGCAGCCCTATACTAAAATGGGTCCTTTGAAGAGTATGGTATAGAGAAATCACCTCCAAATTGCTTTCCTCAGTGGCTGAATATGGCCGGGCAGGTTCACTAGGTCAAGCTATACTTTTCCCTAATGGCAGCTGCTGGTATACCAGGAGTTGTAATAGACAATGTTACAATCAAAAGCTACTATTTCACAAAGAAATAACCATTCACCTCTTTGTATATTCACATACAGGCCTGTTTAGAACTGTTTTCACCTAATACTCATCTGTATTCATTTTTCCTCTGCATGGCATTTATATTAGCAGTATAAATAAATGCATTTAGTACATATACGTGATATAGCTTACATATTCTTGGAATTCCAGGTTGTATTCAGTTTCTTAAACATAAATACAGGACAAAAACATAGTAATTTTACAAACAAATGGACAATCTAACACAGTGGCTTAAGTTTCAGGATACATTCAAAGGTTAATTTTCCCATCATCTAGATGGTACATTGACCAAACTGTGTTACAGAAAAACTCCATTTCCTTTGATGTCATAGGAGGGTACCCATATAGAAACCAGTTAGAATTATGCCTTACAGCACTTTTTTTTGAGATTGAGGCCTATATTTTTGTTTTAGATACAGAGGTTAACCTTACAGAAACAGAAGGGGCACTTTTAGGAAATTAGATCGTGTCTCTACCATGCCCCAATGTGCGCACCCAGAATAAAGCAAAGGGGATCTCAAAGAGAAGGTGGCGGTGAGTGCAGGAGACACCAGGCCGAAGACGCCCAAGAAAAGATTCTTGGAGTGTTTGGTTACGGTGCTCCTAGGATCATCTATCCAAGTAGCTAGCGGGCCTCTCATGGTGGTGCGTTTACAACAGACAGATCACGTCCAGACTTTGCTGTTCCTCTTGTGAGGAATTTCAAAA